ATACGTGTGGTACGAAATAATGTGTTTACTAAGACACACATACATCGGGAGTAAGCATACATAAATTTCGAGATCAACACGCCACTAATCCTCTTTCAGCGCCCTTTTTCTTTCAATCCTCTCGGCCCTCTGTCTCTCATCACGTGCGTGGATCATATCTTTCACTTTGTTGTCATTCTCTCCCTTAAACACCTCCTCCATATTCTCCGGTTGTTGGCGAATGGCTTCGGATTGTACATAACTAAATCCATAGTACAGCGCGGTGGCTGTTGCGGCAAAGCCGGTAATTCGGGCAAGTACACTTGAGTTCATGGTTCTATGAGTGTGAGAGTATTTATAATTATAATTATATATATATAAATCTATATATATATATATATTTAATTGTATGGAGATAGTCGTGCGGTGTCAGGCTGTCAGGCTGTCAGCCCCGGCAGCCTCTCACTGTCACACAGCAGGACGAACTCAACAAAACGGTCATGGCTAAAAACAAATAAATACATTCACACAAGATGTCCGGTGCACAACCAAGAACCGGGGTCTTCCGGTGAAACTTCAAAATGCTATAACTTTTTTTTGGTCCTACAGAATTTTCCAAAATTTGGAGGGTGCACTCCAAATACTGAGAGCTATCCAAAACTGCAATATAAAAGAATCGCCATATTTTTGACACGACATGGTCAGGTCTGAGGACCGGTATATTAAGCCGCACCAGGTATTGAAGGCTGACTCGCACACCAAAGTAAAAAAATAAAGGCATTTTCATACGCACACATTTTCACACACACACCGAAGTCAAAAATAAAGGCATTTGAACACAAAAATAGGCATTAGGCTCATATCGATACCCACGCCCATATAGCAGCATAGTAAAGGATAGATACGCACGAAACACTCATCATGCCACAACATCGTAAACGTTGTAAGAAACAGACGACCTCTAGACTGTTAGGGCGTATCAAGGGGATGGATAAGGGCGGTAGGTTTGTTTCAAAGCAAGAAAACACAGACAAAGAATATGTAGCTGAATCAAGCATGGAGAGTGAATCAGATTTCGGAGAATGCGAACAACCAGCGCATAAACCGCTGAATAGATTCCGAAACTCAACGAATGGACGGTTTGGTCGAGCATGCAAACGTGCGCCGGATAGTGAAGCTTCTGGTGTAGAGGAACAGGGGGCAAGCAGCGACTCTGAAGAAAACTTGGTAGAATTGTAATAAGCCGGGCCTCCACATTAGACTTTATGTATAAACGTACTCTTAAGCAGTACGCAAATTATAAACGTACTCTTAATAGTACGAGGAACTTAAGTTTCCTAAATGTACTCTTAATAGTACGAGAAACTTAAGTTTCCTAAAATGGTTTTTAATGGTTTTATTAATTAAACCTTTTCCATTTAACATTTCAGATATTTGGATGAGGCCATTAAAAGACCTCAGTAAAATACCAAACATAAAAGAGCTGGTCTAGTTCTATTAATAGAGCTTTATTTACTTTCCTATTTTATTTATATCTGATACTTCGGTAGAGAGA